TACAATATTCTTACTTATATAAAGTATCTATATCAAGACAAATATGTAATATTTGTATCAAGACAAATTCAATCAAATCGAAATTAAATAATAATAATTTTTCTAACAAGATTATAATATTCTTGCCTATATGTGAGAATATATAGCCTTGATTTAAGATTAATTTTTTATATACATTTCAGCGACATTACAGCATAAAGAAGTTTGAATCTAATCTAAGTTTACATTAGTATAACTAATGACTTTTGAGATTCTTCGAAGTTGGATGACACGTTGTTCAATAGAAAATAATTTTCAATCGATTTTCAATCAATGATTTGTTACGAGAAAGATCGATATAATAGGAAAGATTCCGTGAAAGGAAGCATGATAAAGGTTTCATATTTTAGGCCTATATTGAATTCGTAAAAGTCGAAAATGAGATCAGGTAGTTCGCTCGTAAAGTTCTTTTCGGCGTGAGGTGTCTAAAATACTGTAAACCTAATGTTCGAGCTAAACGATAAACTCCGTCTCGACTCTCGTCTCGACATCATTGTAATCTGAAAAAGCTTGAAAATCTTCGAAACTTTGTACGACACCGCAAAATGGCGGGCGCACAGGGCGCGGAGAACTCGATTCTCGAATTCGCTTTTTGCAAGCGAGAGAGAGTTGATCGAGCACAAACGCGATCTAGTTAGGGCAGGGAGGGTGATTTATCAAACGGTCGCATCATTACGCGCGAAAGGGACGCGGCAGCACCGCCATGATCCGCCGTTCTTCCATCGGGAAAAGAATACGTATTAATTTATATCTGCATACGGTTGCTATTGTCATGTTAATCGGGTCTCCGCACATTAGCCGAGCTTTTCGGTGATGCGTGCGTGCGTGCGTGCGTACGTACGTGCGTGCGTGCGTGCGTGCGTGCATATGTTCGCACTGCCTAACCGCACATTGCACAGAAGTCGGGAGATAGAGTCCCTAGTCGATATGGGGATCTGGGAAACTCGGGCAGAAGGGCTTTCCAGGATGAACTTGGCCCCGGGCCACTTCATGACTTTACGGGCTGTTTCGCGGATCGCCTTTGATTGCGAACACATGATCGGTGCGACGTTGAGAAATGAGGGCGATTATATTGAAGATAATGTTAAACTGAAAATCAAGTTACATCACATTGTCTTAATTTTCGAAGATAAGACTGCTACTCTTTTCTGTAAGATGTCTCTCTTCACTTTTCAGCCGTGTAATTAGATATACTTCGAATACTTAGAACGCGAGATTCGGTCTCTCGCGTCGCTTAACATCTGGCTTAACTTAATAATCCAATAATAAAAATGATGAATATACCCGCAGCGAACGCAGTATCCGTTGAAAAAATTAACGCCCGTATCTGCGCGCGCGCGCGCGCGCGTGTGTGTGTGTGTGTGTGTGTGTGGTGGTATGATGTGTGTGTGTGAACACCTCGGATAAACATCTTGTTGTACCCTCATGAAAAAGTCGACAACAGCGTGCGCGGTACGAAGAGCTCGAGATTTCCGCGCCAGGGAAATACGACGGTATTATTGTCGTGTAATACATTTCGACGTGTGGAGAGCTCCCAAACGTAACCAAATCAAATCCCTGCCCCATTTACCACATCCACGCGTTATGAGACATTACCGCGCGTGACTTGTCGGCTGCCGAAATCGCTCGCGCTCGAGGGGGTGGAAGGTGAGAAATTCGCGGGAAGGGTTACGCCGAGGCTGCGCCTCGCCTCGGGGCCCGAAAAGTCGTTGATATCGAATCCGAGAGGTCGCTGAAATAAATCGTTAGCCCTCGGGATTAGGGGGAGGAGAAAGAAGCTCTCCGAGAGCCACGATTGGTTGCTCGAGGGATGAAAGTGAGGCCTAGCTTATACGTTTTACGAGCTCTCTCGTTTCTTTTTTTTCTTTTTTTGGTTTTTTTTTGTTTTACGATTCCCGGAAAAGAAATCGAGTAGCTCGCAAATTGGAATGTGATTCCGTAAAGCGGAAAGGGACGTGATCGAAACAAAATAAAACCAATCGTATTAAAATTTCGTTGATCTGTAAGACAATTAATTGCGATTTATTTATATAAGTTGGTCGAATGGTGATTGACTTGATGATTTTTTCTAGCTGATTTTCTAACGACGTAGTCGTTGAAGTAATACTTTCTATAACTACGATATTTTTTTGAAAAGACAATGCGCGCGCGTTCCAGATAAACTTTTGCAGATTTGCAGGTTTATCTAGCGATGTGATTCGCAAAAGTCGTACAGATCGAAGGAATTCTCGAAAAACACGGAGGACCAACTTCGGCAAGACCATCCGGAACGAAGATGAGGAAACCGCTTGAGCGAAGCAGGTTCGTAACATCCCCTTTGTCGTTCGTTCGCTCGCACGCTCGTTCGTTCGTTCGTTCGTTCGCGAGGGGGTCGCGATGCGCGTGCGCCAACCCCATCCGCGGACTCCTCCCCGTACCCTTTTCCTCGCACCCCTTGTCAACCCTCACAGCACACGTGCATCGGTCGGAGCCGCTTCGCGAGCTCCAACGAGATCGTACCGTTCTCGTTCTCTCCCTCCATGTATTCCTTCTCGCTGCTCCTCTTTCCCCACCGATGTGTTGGTCCTGGAACCAAGTCCTAGGTTCCCGCCATAGCAGGCGGAATGACAGCCGATGTATGCCGAGCATGGCCGAATCGCGTAAAAGACGAACGCACGAAAACCAGCAGGCAGCTGTGAGCGGAGGAGCGAGCGAGCGAGTCCGCGAGTGAATAACATACAAAGACTTCTACTACCACTACTATAACTACTACTACTACTACTGCTGCAACTACTCCTGTTACTACCACCCATTTACTACCACTACTTCGTCATCACTATTACCACTACTAATCGCAGAGTGGCCGCTTGCTTTACCAGAGGAGCTTGAACACGAGGCAACCCGCCAAACCAAAGGTAGATACAGTTTTCGTTCAGTCTTGGCCCAAAGAGCCAAGTTCTCCGGTGCATCGTGTTTTATTTGTTCAACGTGCAACGCCCAACATATACGGTGAGGGAAGCGTGTTCTGCATGAGCGTGTGAAAAGGAGAGAGAGAGAGAGAGAGAGAGAGGAGGGGGAGGGGGAGGAA